CAATACAAGTCCAAAATCGGACATTGATTTTTCGGCTTAGCACTAAACAAAACGACTAGCTGTATTTTGTAAACCAACAAAAGAAGACATCGCATGCGCCAACCGTTCGGAAAAAATCTCGCCCAAATAAATGCAATCACCAATAAGAAATCGGGGTGATTTGTTATTTAACACTAGATCTAAAATGTATTGGCACGAGCCGATCTGTCTGGTAAATATCAATTGTTCAAACCAACATCCGTTGTATACACCAACTATTCGGGAAAAGTGTGGGAAACACTTCACCAATAAAGCCACAGAACATGATTCGTCATTTAACACTAAAATTTAGCTTCCGATTATTTCACTTATTATTATGGCAGCCTCCAAGCGTCAATTGTTCAAAAACGGCGTCTGCCGCACACACTAACTGTTCCGAAATAGCGTGCGCGAGCCTTTCGAAACGAGTCACCAATAAAACCACCGCATACTGAATTTGTTATTTAACGCTGAGTTTGAAAAATCTTAGCTTCCAATTATCTCACCATTCACAACAATTATACTGTGATATTCGTGTTATCTTGTAAGCAACGATTGTTCAAGAACGGTTTCCATATGCCTATCCTTCGCCAAATCATAAGCGCACAACACACAATTCGAATCAAGCCCACTCCTTTACTTCTCAATTAATAAATAGCTTTGTCCAAAAATAACCAACAAATTGTTCGCACTAATAGTGAATTTGTTAGTTTATCAAAAAAGACACCAATAAAAAGAAGTAAAGTATGAAATAAAAATCAATTATAGTTTATTATTAACTCAAATACTACCTCAAAGTTATAAATAAAAGACAACTGCGATTATTCCCATCTTAAAGCTTCTTTGCTATCTATTATCCAACACCATTATTACTGATGACTGATTACTACCATTGAACAAAATGATTGCAACTCTCACGGCTATTATGTACATAGTTTCTATTGCGGATAAGACTTATAACAACAAAACCGTTCAAAAAGCCTCCACCATATCAAGAATTAATGCAGAAGACGGATATCAGCTTTACAAATTTACCGCCTACGCGTCCGAAAACAATCTAATAGAGGGAGATAATACATCATCTGAAATCACACAGGTGTCGCTTGTGTGCCAAATATTCACTGTGCCACAGATCAGTACCATTGAGCGGAAATCACTGAGACTTTTAGACCCAGGCTTGACAGTATCATTGATTTTAAAAACATAATAATAAGGGGCAATTTTTTCTCCTTGAGCTTTCTTTAAAATACTTCTAATGGCGCTATAATTCTTTGGTTCCATAGTGTATTAGTATTTGATGTAAATTAGTTTTATGTTTATATTTTATATAGAGATATTCCTATATTAATATTAAGCATATTATAACTTCAAGTGAAAAGTTTTATGAAAGATTGGTCCATATCTTAATCTGTATCACCAATACTAAAGCAAAGCCATTATCAGTCGTTTATTTGATCTTTCAGCCATGTCAACCATTTTTGGCTCATGTGATGAAATGATCACTTTGTCTGGTTTTGTTGCAGCATGCGATGGAGGAGACATTCTTCTTTTGGTTTACGGCTAGTTGTTTTGTTTAGTGCTAAGCCGAAAAGTCAATGTCCGATTTAGTACCGTTTTGGACTTGTATTGAAAATTTTTTTTGCCAGCCGTAGACCATTTAAAGATTAGCAAATTGATCGACACACAGCTGTGATGTGATGTGTACCGGACAAAAGTCATTGTCGTTGACCAATTTTGGGTTTGCTGCCAAAAGCAAAATTTTTTACGGAACACATATAAACGACCTTCGTCCCTTAACTTCAATTGAAATTGAAATTTGAATATTGAAGTAAAAACAAACTACATGGTGCTAACTAAATTTATACCGTTTATTACCATATTCAGAACCCGTCTTGAGAACATGACCAATAAAATACGAAAATTGTGGTCAGCTGATTGACGAATGGCTGGTATTAGTATGATATTTAATCTGTGTTAATTAATTAAAGAATAAGTAACATTACGTATTGTGGCATGCAACATAAAACATCTTTAATATTGAAAGATTTTGTCATACATTTCACACCGCTGACCCCTTCAGATCGAATAGATTTTGTTGATAAACTTTAAAAAGTCTTACTGTGGTTTAACTTTCGTAGTATACAGTGAAAGTCGATATAACGGACTGTTCGGGGCCTGCGTTTTAATCCGTAATATCGACTTGTGAGATATTATTTAGTAATCAAATTCCGTTCCAGAGAAAAGTTTTATTGGCGGTCCGTTATACCGATGGTCCGTTATATCGACTTTCACTGTGTATTTTGAGAATCGAAGTAATTAAAATCGGCAATTTGATTTTCTGGGGTAAAAATACAGGATCTGCGATCTATGACGGGAACGGCAACTATAGTAAGTATAGCACTGTTGGGACCTTTAATCTCCGCTGTCGTGTTATGTATACTGCTAAAAATAATCTTAAGATTTCGGTTTGCAACGACAGGGGTTATTACGACATAAAGTAGTTGGTATTAAACTTGCACGACTAAATCGACGTGTGAATTATTACCAACATGCAAGCATGTCGATTGCCATCGGATCAACCTGCCCGTGTTTGATGATCAATGGATAAATTAATCAATTACATTACGCTTAAATGAAACAATAAATTTTTAACGACGCAAATGAGCTATGTTAAGGTATAAATATATCAAGAGACTGACCAGAATCCACAACAAAAAGTCCAAGAACGTCTGGCTTGCTTCCAAAGATAAAACAATCAAGCGATCCAGCTGTTTACCGCAACGCAAGCTTTTTACAATCACCACATTAACCCCCCAAATATCAAACGCCAAATATTCAATTATGAAGATTTCTGCAATTCTTATAGTTGCTCTTAGTATGGCCCTTCTTTCAGATGCCGCGCGATCGAAGGATCCAACCCCACCAAAAGGCACGGGAAACCCCGCAGCTGACAATCCTCTCGGTGGTATTCAAATGCCATTTATTAAGCAGGATGGCAGAACTTTCAATGTTGGTCAAAAGGGCTTTGGAAGCGAGTTTGCTGCACACAGAAATCAATGTACTGTTCAGCACGATGCATGTGTAGCTGCTGTCGGCACGAAACCTGATATTCCTGACGCTGGTGCTTGTGATGCGCAACAAGAAACTTGTAATAATGGTGCCCCTGTATATGGATAAATAAAATATCACAGAATTTAGATTATTGTTTTGTAATAGTAATAGGAGATAGCTAGTTATATTCTAATAAACGAAACGTTTGAAAATATAAATTTATTGTGACTTATTCCCATAGATCGCTGGTTAAGTGTTAAATCGCTTTCTCGACCAGCGGTTAATAAGTTTGATCTTGTCGTCGAACTTATCAGAACTTAGGCATCAGGATTTCTATTTAGCGCGCGCGCTATTTTCCGTTGACAGATTTCGTTAATAATCCCTAGCGAATCTTTGTCATTGTTTGACTCGGAGTTTAAATAGAATCCAGGGAAGGCGTATACATAGTCGGATTAAGTCCGTGAGTATTGATAAATCATATAAGGTCACTAATTAATTGGATAGAGATTTAGCGATACGTGCGTAGTAATAGTAAGAACTAACCGCTAAATCTCAAAGTCGTTACACGAACGCTCTCCCACGTTACCGATTTATGACTGATTTTAGTACTGTTCACTAAGCAGACGTCAGAAAGACCTATTGGAGAATAATATACATGGGTGAGGGTGTATCAACGTTCCTTCGTGTTGATGCAAATGTGACATTCTCTCATCGGAGTCACCATATGTCTGAAATAGAAAATTGCAAAAGTAAGACGTCCGATGCAAAGTGAGTTAAAACACAGAATCTAGGGAGGAATATATATCATAATTAATATTAGTCCTCACAGCAGCTTTACTATACGGGGCATGCTGCAACAAAACCAGACAAAGTGAACATACTATAAATGTAATTATCAGGACTGTTTCTCACATTCTTCTGACTAATCCATCGTTTAACTCAATTCCTGTGACTGAATCCACAGATTATGATAGCGAGGTTGGAATTCGTGCTGAAGACAGTTGAGAAGTAATATCAGGTGCTAATGCTTATTTGACGGGACTATTAGTGAAAGACGACGGATACTTTATAAAGCTATATGCACTTATTAAGGAACGCAGAAAGCACAACTGGTAAGCTGGGATCAAGTCCACCCTAATGCAATTTGTTTACTTTTCTCTCAATCATCCCGTTCTGGCTACTGTTTTCGTATCCCCAATTTGACTGAGCAATACAACGGCTAAGAGAAAACGTACTGTGGGGACTACAAATGTGAGTTATAGTTGGTGCTATTTTCCCAAATATCCGATCCTTCTTCATTTTCTCTATGAGTAGGCAAAGCATACTCACACTGTGAGATCCTCACTACAGCAGGTGCAAGATAAATCTCTTGAACCATGGCAACATACACAAGTCAAACTCGAAACACTGCAACCAGTACAAGACAATTTCTTTGAGCCATTGCAAATTGATCTGGTAAGTCAATATTTAAGCCATTGAAACTGATAATCATGCTAACACTACCATATCTCTGTGCATGGGCAGGATCAACATGACAAAGAGTATTAGTATATCAACCAAGTTGTTCTGTTGGATAAGCTCTGTGTACCAGATGGTGAAGCAACAGGAATCACATATGAAGAATTCACAAAAAACAACTATATATATCCTACTTTCCTGAGGCTGAAAGTAAAGAGTATCAAGATAAACTGCCTTTTCTCATTTGAGAGTGTGCTATTGGCCAGATTGACTTTTTTCATGGTCTGAAGCACAAATTTGACTGCAATAAATTCTTTAGTGATACATTAGTGAGTTGCCAATTAGAGCCACTTAGTGAATCGATTAAAGAGCAATAGTCAGATAGTATAATTTATCTACCCATTTTTTATATGCCGTAGAGAACTGTCTGTCGTATGTGCATAATATGGAGTGGCAGAAAGGATTATTTGTTGTATTTATGCGTTGGAGAAGATAAACGATGCATGCACAATAGAAAGAAGCGTCCGGGTGTATATGTACGAGGATGTGTGTTCGAACTTTTTTATCGCTTATGTAATCGATAACCGTGTCGTTGTTAGAGTGCTTGTTCGTGAGTTGCAGCGAACTGTCATATGTGCCGTAATATGGTGTGGTGACAAAAGAATTGTTTGTTGTATTTACGCTTTGGAGGATGAGGCGATGGATGCGCAATAGAAAGAAGCGTCTGGGTTATATATAAGTAGACATTTGTTTGAGCTCTTTCGTCAGATAAACCGTGTCGTTGTTAGAAGACTTGTTCATGAGTTGTAGTGAACTGTCGTATGTGCGTAATATGGAGTGACGGCAAAAATTGTTTTTGTATTTAAGCTCTGGAGGCGGAGATGTTGTAAAGCGGTGCATACGCAATGGATTATGTATATGTATTAGTAGGCGTGCATTGAACTCTTTCATCAGTTAGTGGTCGATAAACCGTGTCGTTGTTTAAACCATAAAGCACAAAAAATCGACACAGTGGTTACTGAGTAATAATGATTTAAAATATCTCTTTTTTGTTGTATCTTTTGTAGGGAGGATCGATTCATAAAGTTGTTGTTGTATTACTATGCACTGTTTGTTAGAATCTAGGCTCGTCTTGCGAAATGTGTCTGACAGAAAGAAGTCAATACTTGGATTATTTTTAACAAAGTATAGACTGTTCCAAGGTCTTTCGTTCTCTCTTTTTTTTTGAACAGATTTAATTGAGCAATCACGAGAATGCCGAGTAGTCTAAAGCGTATAAAAATTTTTTTTGAATTAATTCCAGCCACAACGCCTCATTACAAAATATAGGGATTGTCTGCTATGCTCAACAACGGTTAGAGGTAAGAGCATTCTTTCTTAGAATGGTATTTACATGTGATATGGGAAAAAGTTTGTATGGAAAGATTGTTTTGTTTTAGTAATAGTAAGTCAGAGAGGCGAGAGGTGAAAAAAAATAAATTTTTTTTTGATGGCACTTCAGATAAAATACTTGCTTGTTAGCTGAGTTTCTTAAAAATAACAAAGAGCTGATGTTGCCATGATTGCGGCTGAGGGGCAGATTTCTTTCACCAAAGTAAAATAAGAAAAGAAAACTGATTATTGCCAGCTCATCATTATCATAATTTGCTGTAAATAAGTATGCATGACGTATTCTTGCACGAAAGTAAGTCTTAGTGGGATTTGTAGCGGCAAAACGTGCCATGAACGAACGCCACGCAGTAAATTTCCGTCCGAACGAACATCTTGAATATTTTCTTCTAGGCTAAAATTTATTTTAAAGTCTGCGTTTAACGCAAAACGGCAGATTATTACTCGTTACAACAAAGCCATAATGAAATTCCTATAAAGAGGGAACCTGGATATAACAAAGAAAAAGGATGAAAGGGATCAGTTCGTTATACCCGGGTAAAACTATTTAATAATAATAAACTGGATGTCCCACAGCTTTGATTCAGTGTATAACAAATTCACAGTGCTCTGTCGGCAGATTTCTTCACGAGGCAGCTGCGCTCCCTCACTGGCCTTGTGGTGTCAATGCCTAGTGATGAAACCACCGACTTAGCCAATTATACTATCTAATTATCCATTAATATCCCTATTATTCTTAGAAAATAATTACTTTTTGCTAGACGAATGATTTTATGTAGATCAGGAACTTGTTGCCCATCGATTAATTAAATTAATTACAGTCACATTAGGAATATTATTCCGCTCATCCTTTTTAATTAATTTATTTTTTTCCACATTCCGTTTATTAAGTTGTCTCGTCAGTGAAACAATTGTTATTGAGGTGTTGTGTGCTCGATCTCCTTTGTGCTTTTCAATAAACATTGGCGTTTTATTAGACCTGCTTTTTGATATCCGCTTGAGTTTAAATACCGATCTAAAAATCGACATGAAGCTGCAACACCTTGAGACAAATTTGATCGCTATTTTTCTTAGGAATCTTCCTTATGTATTATTCAATTGCTTTACCACACCTCGTTCTTTCGATTATTTTCACATCTGTGTTCCAGCGTGTTATTTTCTAACATGATAATGAGTTGTAAGTATAGGAAGGCCTGTAATTTACTTAATTCTGAAACAGAGCATATGCCTTGCTTCCAAAAATGTAATAAACTTGTTTTCTTGTCATTTTGCGTAAGTGAAGATATTCTAGAGAGAGTGTTTTTAAGACACAAATGAAAACGCAAATAAGAACAGACTATAAACATAAGCTTTGTCTCGCTTTTTACACGAAGTGTTTTGTGCTGAAATTGGCGGGCAGGAGATTTTTTGTCACGCACTGTACTGTAGTATTGATCTGAGATCTCATTAATATCAGGTGATGTAATTAAAGAAGGAATTGCAAGATTGACCAATGAGAAGATATCGGATTTAATGATTAGAACATATATTAATATTAATATCCTCCATCGGTCTACACTATCCATAAATATATAACAATTACATAAGAATTACATAAGAATTACAACACTTCTAATCTAATTGCTACTCTTAATATTAATAGCCTATCAATTTCGTTAATATATATTTAGGGAATTAATAACATCACCGTTTCATCATATGGACGAAGGCAAATACGTGTAATATATCACCGAAGGTCAGGTTTAACGTACGTATGCACCTGGTACACAATAGCAGACGAAAAAATGCTAGTATATAAAATATATACTCGTTATATGTTCTATCGTAAATATTACCTGTTAGATTCAGCTTCAACATTAACATTTTTCTTTCCACTGTAATTTCCTATTTATTGGATTTTCATCAAAAGTATCCACATTTCGCTTTGTGCTTCTACTACACTCAATGGTTCCAACCCCCTACTAAGATTTTGGCATAGATTTCCCTCATTGACAAAATAATATTTAACTTGAACAAAATTTTGTTGTACCGAACTTTCTAACGAGTACTCGGTGTTATACATCGTCTTTGCTGGTTCAAAACAGCACAAATCAATTAACTTCGAGCTTGCAGTTAGGTATGTTGAAATTACCAGTGTTGTAATTATAAATAAAAGGATATAAATTATTCAAAGAAGCGCCTGTATAACAAGGCACTCGACGCTTTGAGCGACTAAACAAGAAACTTTTTCATACGCGATAATCAGTTATCAGATAGACTTTCGTCGAGAAAGAGAATAA